GGGGGGGGGGGGAGATGCTAATTAAAAGCCGGATTTTCCAGGCCAAATGAGCTCCGGAGAAGATGGGGTGGGTTGAGAATTGAGGAAGGAATGGATTGTCATTTCTGCCCCCCTCCCCTTCAAATTAGTCAGTTGCCCCAAGAAAGTTCCATGTTCCCCTTCCCGATCCAACCAGTCATCCCAGTTGTGGATGCAAACTGGCGTTCCCAATACAACATGGTTGGGGAAGCCAATATATCCCAATGCATGCATCACCCCCACCCCAAAATACACAAAGTGTCACTGTCAGTCCCTTGCTTCTTTTTGAAATTATTTGAGCATTGGACTATGACTCTGGAGACCAAAAAGGCAAAAAGACTGGTGGAGGGGTGGAAATTGGCTATCCACCAGTTTCTCATCTCTGGCTTATTTGGTTATGTCTCTATTGATTTCAGCTCTTCCGAGAAGTGAGGATCATGAAGGGTCTAAATCACCCCAACATAGGTAAGTTTGAGCCAGAGAGGAAGGTGGTTGCCACGTAGGCTGGTGGATAATGGGGGTTGTCTTGCAAAAAATATGAAAGGTACCAGATTTAGAAATGGGAGGTGTAATGGATAGAGTATTGGCCCTGGAATGAAGGTTCAGTGGTGTTCTGTACTCTTCTCAACCAACATTTCATGGTTGTCGTGGAGGATATACTCCCATTGACTGCAAAACTTGGGCTGGGAATCAGTAACCGCTTGTTTTAATAAATTTTTAATTTTTAAAATTCTATTTACAATGGGCCCTTGGTATCCGCTGGGGTTTGATTCCAGGCACTCGCATGGATACCAAAATCTGGAGATGCTCAAGTCTCCTTATATACAGTGGCATAGTAAAATGGTGTCCTTTGTGGAAAATAGCAAAATCAAGGCTTCCCTTATGGAATTTAAATATTTTTGGAATATTTTCAAGCCATGGATCGTTGAATCCATGGATAAAGAGGGTCAACTGTACATGATTTGATTGTTTTCTCGGCAGGTTTGTTTTGTCTAATTGATTTATTTTCCTTGTAAATTTCTTGTGGTTATGTGCCATCAAGTCGACATTGACTAATGGCAATCCCATGAATGAGAGAGCACCATTTGCAGCTTTGCTCAGGTCTTGCAAACTCAAGTCAAAGATCAAGGGGTTTAGAAATTCCAGTAATACATGTTCTATATGTTTGCAAAATGCAACGGCACTTTGATTAGCTTTAACAGTGATGACTTGCTATTCTCCAGGTAGAGAATACTGTCTTTTACATAACACTATACTTCACTCCCTTTCTCTGAAGCTGGAATCAGGGATATACTGGTTGCTTTTAGACTTCTGTGGTCCAGGGTCTAAAAGAGCTGACAGGATCTCTTTCTTCATTTCAGTGAAACTTTTTGAGGTAATAGAGACAGAAAAGACTCTCTACTTGGTGATGGAGTACGCTAGTGCCGGTAAGTCCCATTTGGCCCCAATCCAGTGGTTCCCAAGCTCTGGCCTTCCAGGTGTTTTTGGACTTCAGATCCCAGAATCCTTGACCATTGGCCAAGATGGCAAGGGTTTCTTGGATCTGAAGTCCAAGGCCCCTGAAGGACCAGCGTTTGGGAAATCTTGCCCTAATTCTATACCTGCACCCCGCTGCCATTTTGTTCCTGCCAGCGCTGTCCAGTCCACTCCTTCTTCCCCTTTGAATGTCTCTGAGTTTCTAGTTCCTACAGGGCTTTTCCGTATCATACAAAGTATAGTGCAATGATTCCAGTTTAACTGCCATGGCTGCATATTATGGATGCATTATTACGGCATTTTCAGTTTGTTGTGTCATTTTGGTGTGGCTTCAAGTTGTTTCCAACTTATGGTGACCCTAAGGCAAACCTATCTTGGGGTTTTCTGGGGCTGAGAGTGTGAGACTCGCCCAAGGTCAACAGCATTTTAGAATTCTCAGCCAGAGAGCTCAATGGACTCCTCAAACTACAATTCCCAGGATTCCATGTAAAGTTATAATAGTGTGATATGAAAGGGCCCTCGGTTGCACAGTTTCTAATAAGTAGCAAATGCGTATAGGATTTCAGAGGCCTGGTTTTGTGTAATTCTGGCTTATGAGCCCAAAAACTCGGGTAGATTCTGAGCTGGGTGGCTGTGCTGGTTGCAAAGTCCTATCAAAAGCAAAGTTTGGTGGTGGTGGGAGTACAAAGACAGCTGCACAGGGGAGGACAGGACACAGACATTTCCCTGCAACCCAAATTCCATCCTGCTTATACATTTATGATCCTGGAGCTGCTAAAATTGGAGATGCACACATGCCCCGGTCTGTATAAAAGATCCTCAGCCCATGCAAGAGTTGGTTCCTTGGCTGCTGAGCTCAAGAGCCACTTACCAGCATCAGAGCCAGAGCAGCAAGATGAAAATCTTGGCTTTGCTTCTCTCTCCACCTTGCCCAGAGGTGCCAAGAGAGTTTTGTCCTTTCAACTGGTTTCTGCAAGGCTTTGAAGCTATTTGGAGTTCTTAAATGCAGTTATTTATTTCCAGATACAAATAATGTGGGAGAAGCAGCTCAAATAACCAGAAAAAGGGCTTGAAAGCTGTTTGGCATTCTTGGATTCATGTATTGATTTATAGCTCACCTTTCTCCCAGCGTGGGAAGAGGAAATTAAATAACAAGTGCACCAACCTGTGTTTCCATGAGTTGTGTGTTTTAGGAATCTCAGGCGATTCTGTGGAGCTGGCCCCATATTGCCATCTCTGACTGGCAGCAACAGCTCTTTGGAGTTGTAAGCAATATTCTTTCCTAGCTATAGCTAGGGATGCTGCAAGGTTTGAACCCAGGACCTTCTTGCATATGTCTATGGGATGCTGCCCTTCCATTGAACCAGACCCTTGGGACTGCTAACTCACTGAATATTTGCAATTTTCCGTTTTCATGCAGGGGTCCAGAACGGATCCCCCGCAAAAACAGAGGGGGTGACTGTAATGTAATTTAATTATTACAGTTCCCAGAATTCCATAGCATTGAGCCATGGCAGTTAAAGTGGTGTCAAACTGAATTATTTCTGCAATGCAGATAGGTCCAAGATCTGACCATGCTTAGCTTCTGAGATCAGGTCTCTTTAGAGTTGGATATTGGTTCCAGGGTGAGATGGTGGTACTCTGTAGCTGGCAGTCTCAAGAATCTGTGCAGTTTTTTAGGAGCAGTATAGCAATACCTGGAAGGGGCCCAGATGCTGAAATCCTCCCTTAACTTTAATGACACCCGGTTTGTGCCACTTTCTCCAGCCTCAGAGTAAGCAGAGCTGCAGTGAACCAGGATAGTAATACCCCAGGGATAGTA